ATCAAGCCTGTAAATTGGCGTTACTCTTGTAACGTAGTTTTTTGAGAATAAATATATCATTATTATTATTCAGAAGTATTTTTTTACCTTACTCGATGGCTACTAGACAGTAGTAAACGGTCTTAAAATCTCAATTTGCTGTCTCTACTTAGTCACAATCATACATTGTCACACATTTTGTATCTGCTGTTGATTATGAACTGTGTTACGTTTTCCAACTAGAAGATTTCCGGAGAGGTATATGATTCTGATTGCTGCTTGACACAGTATATATTTTGATTTAGAACGTCTGAATAATAGCAGTTGGGACTTGTCTTTCATGACTTAATCGGAATTCGCCTCGAAACATTAACTCGGAAGGTTCCGCCGACATAAACAAACGGCAGAATCCACTGAGCAATCACCCTCTCCACATCATTTACAGTTACTCCTGGCAAGCCTTGCACTAAACCATCTATGTCGTCCCACAGTTAAGGTCTAGTACCCATAAACTCACTGACATAAAGCTCGTTGTCTGGAATCACTGGTATCTTCACTAGGATACAAAGGACTGGTATCACCCATGTGTGATACCTCACAGCTGTTCGGAAAGCAGAACGGAATTTAAATAATAGATTTATTGGGGCACAGTTTTGGAGGTTTGTGTTTTTTACACATTTGAAATCATTAATCAATCATCATTGTTAGACCACCATTAGAAACCTGGAAGCACTGGACGGCCGTTTCGTCCTAGTATGGGACTCCTCAGCAGTGCGCATCCACGACTCCTGCTCCTCACAGGATTCGAACCCGGGACCTTTGGCACTGTAGGCGAACGCCTTACCATCGGACCACTGGGCCGGCATCCAACGGTGTTAATGTCTAACTCTGATTGATCTAGGGATTTTGCGCGACCTCACCCATTTGTCTTTAGTAGTTACTGCCTACACCCGACAGGGTTGAACTCCACTGGTCACGTCTTCTCAACTAGAACTCCGAGAATTTCCGTTGGATGCCGGCCCAGTGGTCCGATGGTAAGGCGTTCGCCTACAATGCCAAAGGTCCCGGGTTCGAATCCTGCGAGGAGCAGGAGTCGTGGATGCGCACTGCTGAGGAGTCCCATACTAGGACGAAACGGCCGTCCAGTGCTTCCAGGTTTCTAATGGTGGTCTAACAATGATGATTGATTAATGATTTCAAATGTGTTAAATAATAGATCTTAGTCGCATCCTTTATATCGCTCCATGAAAAGGTTACCTATCACACTGAAATTCTGGACAGGGATACTTTAGTTGATTACAGCTACCATAATGATTTAATGGATCTGCCTGCTAACGGATTTTAATCCAGTTATTCTGTGCCTATTGCACCTTTATCTGATGACTTTCGTTCCACCGTATCCTATGCCTCTGAAAACCAAAGGCATCTGAGCGGCTGAATACCATAAATCTGCCGGATTAAAAGGAATACAAGAGTATGCATTCCCAAGGTAATTCTCTTTTGTTACTTTCTTCAGGTTTTCCTTAGTCAATAACAAAAGACCCTATTAGTGAGGAAAGTGTGTAGTCATATGCGCGTCACACAGGATGGCAGGCTAAACTAAACTGGTCTCAAATCTATTAAAAAGATATTATAAGAAAGTAATATGCTATTTCTTTATGACTGAACTAATAGAATCTTCTCAGAAACAAAAAATTCACGCGTCTAGTTGAAACAATGAGCGAAACTCCAATGAATATACAATTCCTGTGTGATATATGCATCACATGGTTCTCTGGCATTCTGCAAACTAAAAAGAGTATTCTGTATCGTATTTTTCTCCCAGACATTAAGTAGCATGATCCGGGAACTATTAAAAATATTTCCAGTGCCCACCTTAGATATATTTGGAAAAATCTATTCCGCTATGCCACCTGACTTTAATAACGTAACTCCCTACTATAACGTCGCAAATAAATGTTGACTGAAGACGGGTTTGGGCTAAAGCTGAGGTCTTAGTGAGTCCCAGTTTACAAACGGACGAGCTAGAACAATGATCCTTTCAGACATTCTGCTATTAAATTCACTGAACTGCCGAAATACATACTGGAGGTTATGAAAGGGTCATTTTCATCAGAGATTTTTGGAAAAAGGCTCGTCTCTCACTATGATCCCATAGGTAATGAGTACGGTCAATCTGTATGTTATTCTAAGAATCGACTAAACATTAGCAAATGACATATTTAACATTTAAGTATCAGAATTTGCCGAACGAAAATGAAACGCCCCCTAATCAAAAAGACTGGAAACTCAAGGGACAAACCGCTCACCACCTCTGTTGAAGATGTCACAGATAGGTTGTATTTGTCAGGTTTACCGTCTTAAACTTCTAGTATGAGTGTTCCGAAGCTAGGCAATCCAGAAATTGAAAATGATAAGGGTGAAAGTATATATATTTGGATGATGTTTGATGTTTCGAAGTGCCTACAATCTGAGCTGACTAGTTCTCGTGAAGGATGCTCAGTACGGTGTACCTAGACGTGACAGTGTAGATACTTGGTAGCAGTGTAGATACTCGAAAAGCATCTTCAGCTAGAATTATGTCTAATAAAACTAGTGACGTTTCAATAATTGTTGAATACATACAAAACTTTATTTTGGTTGTTTAATTACTGATACACTGTAAAGCAAGTTTGTGGTTTGATACTCGATCCAATAAGAAAGAGAAGAATTTTTGTTAAGCGAGGCTCTGAAAGCTTGTTACAGGAGAAGAGGAGAGCGCGGTAAGTGCGCAAAGTCTCCATGATGGAAATCAACGGTAATACTTGCTCGGCATTGGCGAACAGATGCAATGCCGAAGCTGGAATTGATAGGAGACACCTCCCAATGAAGCTAGCTGCAAAAATACAAGCAAACCCAAAAAATCTGAGCAAAAATCCTAATAACCAGGGTTTTTGTGCCCTCAGAGGTCTGAACAGCTATCTTAGAGATGGCTGATATCTTTCACAAGGACTTTATCTATCAGTTAGACGAAGTAGCTACACGTTCAGAGTACTACTGAAACATAGTGCTAGTTGACGGCTTGGAGAATCTTCAGCTAACTTCTGACTTAGCACTTGGACGACTACAAACCTTGCGTCCAGTAAAGTCACCAGGATGTGTCGATATTGGCCTTTTATTCCTGAAACAGCTTGCGAAGGCCCTCAATTCACCGGCATGTGGCATGTTTTGGCATTAATTGGAGTCACACCAACTCCCTGCAGGATCGAAACAAGCTACTTTCTCTCCAATCTTAAGAGGAGATAGGAAGGACCCAGCCTGTTATAGACCAGTTTCATTACTGCGAATACTATCGAAGGTAATGGAAGGGCAGGCGCTCAAACGAATGAGGGAGTAAATAGATAAAAGCAAAATCCTCCAGTTCAACAAGGGTTTTGGAAAGGCAAGTCGCGCGCATACAATCTTAGAGCGTAGGACAGTTGAATATCTGGCTAAGGACCCCAAATACGGGTTCATATAACGTTCCTTGACTTTGCGAAAGTTTCTGCGCAGTAACCCGAATACTCATAATTGCGAACGTTGCAAAAACGGATTCAATTGACCCACTACTGTGTCCGCTCTGAAACCACCTAGAGAATAGGAAGCGTTGAACCAAGTCAGTGTCAAGCCAGTTGGCGACTCTTGACATAGTGAATTTCACAGAGAACCATCGTAGGTCCACTCTTCTTCATTAATCATCTTTCAGAAAAACTTATCTAAGCGGCATTCTTCTACGCCAGTGATCTGGAGTCCCATTAGAAGCGACGAGGATTCAAGTGAGCTTCGAAGGGCTTAACATCTGTTGAGCAGTCGGCAGTGAAAAACGGTTTAAAACTAAATCGAAATTTCACGTTATATGGATTCTGCCCCACATAAGACAAACGACTGACACCCTCAATGGAAGTCCACTCCTCAATCTCCCCAGAGCGCGATCTCGGTTTAATAACCACTGAAGGCCTCGACATCACTTTGAACTACATAGAGGACGGAACTATGGGTAATAACAACTCTTGAATGTATGCAAAGAGAATTTGGTGAAATCACCACAGAATTGTCTTCAACGCTGTCTACAAAATATGCACGCCCACACCTTGATGTTTACGAAGTTTTCGCACCCCTCTCCCTAAAATAGGTATAAATCCCTTAAATCGAGTGCAGAGACGAGCAGCTAAATGGGTGTTGGGGTTGAAGAACGAGCCTTGCGCAGCTAGATTCCAGCACTTGAGACTACTCTCTCTGAGTTGCAGGAGAATCAGAGGTGATCTGATAATGGAGTACAACATATTAAGCGTGCCAAACGATCCCAACATGAACGTCTTACCGAAGCATCACCATCACACCCCCTTGACGTAATCCTCAAAAATCCGCGCATCGAAAAAGAACACCCATATTCCTACGCACTTCTTCTCATTAGCATTTGTTGCACATTGAAGTTCTCTGGCAGCCGAGGTAACCACAACCTCCTCAGTGGACAGCTTTAAGAAAAGACTTGGTAAATACATACTCGTATGCGGATTATTATCTCCATCTTGGACCGGCTGCGCGTGACGCGTGATTTAAGACATGCTAGCTTTGACTATTGCGAGTTCCTCAGATCACCAACTTAATCTATCGCGCCTATTATCTCTGTTTCCTTTCCTCTGCTTAAAATTTGGTCTCTTCGCACAATCTTCATTATTAGTTATTAGACTTAATTATCCACTTATATTACTTAGTCCTGAGATCATTTTATTAGCATTAGAATTTTCTCCTTATTAATCTTCACACTGTAACCAACTGTTCTATGACCGGGAGGCGTGATAGCTGCTGACAACTGTCAATCGGCTAGAATGAATGCAGTTGAACGGCTAGACTGCCATCCATTGGACAAAACCAAATACCCGAAAGCGTGCCAAAAGAACAAAATCTGAGCGCAAAGAAATCAATCGGTTAGTACTACCGCGTGAAAAAATTGGATATTGGACGCTGGAGTTAGAAGTCCTTCTTTTGAAGGGGGAGGTACACGGTGACTGATGTGGTTAGTGCATCATTTATTGGTTTCTTAATTTTTGTCACATTTTGTTACAATTCATTTTTTTTCTAAGTAATAATGGTATTTCTGCTAGTGTCACTACAAAGTAGTCCAAAAGTGGAAAGATATTGGTGGGAACTTGGGTTGTACAGAAATCGCCGTATTTCTTAACATCACATCTCATATAGTCCGCTGCATCCAACCGACTCTTTGGGTTTAAAAACGGCCTTTTATTAAACTCTGTACAACCCTCAGCAAATTCGTCAATCCAAACAAGGAGGTCATGCTTGCACAAAATTTGATTTTATTTTTTAATATGATTTTAATTGATACAGTTTGGTGTGGATTTTAGCCAAAATTAGTCTGTCTGACGACTAACCAAGTGTAAAGTTTCAGACCTTTCGCAAGAAATTTATGCTAGGTTTCACATTAATAATCCTGCCTGGGAGGAAACGGCGACACTAATGCAGTGTTGCTTACATTCATCCCAAATTTTCCTAGCCAGTGTCGCATATATTCCCCTAAAGTTCAACTTCATGGGTTAACCAAAACTGTATTTTTTCTGTCGAATGACTTGCTGAATCCAATTTTTTCGAAAGAAATATTACTGATTCAATCAGTAACGTAGGACTTGGTACATACGTACATCAGTCCAAGTTGCCATACCGCATCGTCAGAGAGATACAGTTGTCAATTCAAACACCATAGTGGTTAGAGGTAGTAGAAGTACAAGCAATAGTCGGAAAGATTAGCCTTATAATGATATCAGCACTTGGTACCATAGGATTTCTCTTCTCTAGCCACCAGATTCATAGTTCCTGTGATATCATTTATCGTAGTAACTGTTTCACATTAAAAAAACTCGTAGTCGAACTCATGGAACTATGAAATCACTTAACATCATGATGGGATCATTGGCTAACTCATCCGATGGGAGACTAGATTCATATCCAAGGGTTCACAGCATTTATATTCTCCATGTAAGTTTAACGTATTGCTACAGTGCCTAATTTGTTAATGAAGCATAAATTAATTGTACCTACTACTACTTCATAAGCCTCGTTACCCGACCGTAGCTGCTACCTTGACGTGGTGGTCGGGCTTGCCTATCGTGATGACCCAACCAAGCTATATTGGCGCGGACTTATGTTCCTGAAGGTTCTACCATGCCAGACAGGTCGATTGGAGAACGATGAGACTAAAATCAGCTAATCAAGGTCTGAGGGCGAAGTCGCACTGCTGACTGTAGGGAGGTGTGACAGCAGTTAGGTGTTCCCTTCAGACTATCAGGATCTGCAGCGATGCTGCCTTCTCATAAGAAAGGAAGGTTAGAAAGGTCGACCCTAAAAATATCACACCTCATCTTACCTGACGGATATCCGTCTCCGGCGGAAAGGGATGCCAAATAAGGGCTTTTCAAAAGAGCTGAGCTAATACTTCAAAAACTTTCCATAAGGATACCGTGCGTGATTGGCCTGAAGCAGTTGTCCCGTGAGCTCTGTGGTTACCCTTCCAGGTCGTTAAAACCATCACTTATCCAACTTCTTGTTCAGGTTCCTCAAGAAACACCTACGGTGTTTTCAGCCGCCCTCAAAACCGTACCAGCACGCGAGACCGAACCGGTCACAAACAAATCTTTCCTACACCCCCTAACATCTCTCTCCATTCTTGTTCAACTTTGTCGTAGACATCCTCTTAGAGTTAACATTAAGCTCGTCAGATTTTTCAGGGGTTGACCTTCTACCAGGAAAGTCGCTTACTGATCTAGAATATGCCGATGACATAGTTCTATTCGGTGAAGACGCTGACAAAATGCAGAGTCTTCTGACTACCATAAGCAACAATGCGAGCATGTTCGGGATACGGTTTTCCCCCTCGAAATGCAAAATGTTGCTTCAAGACTGGGTTGCATTGGCACCTGAACTAGTGATAGGGAGTGAAGTAGTCGAGCGTGTAGATCACTTCACTTATCTGGGGAGTCTCATCAGTGCTGACGGTCTGGTGACTGACGAAATCTCAGCTCGGATACAGAAAGCTCGATTGGCTTTTGCCAACCTGCGTCACTTATGGCGTAGGCGTGATATCCGTTCGCTAACCAAAGGGCGGGTGTACTGCGCAGCAGTTCGTTCCGTTCTCTTATATGGCTGTGAAACATGGCCGTTAAGAGTAGAAGGTGTTCGTAGGTTACTAGTATTCGATCATAGATGTTTAAGAAGGATTGCTCGTATACCGTGGGACGGCCGAGTAAGCAATGCTGTCGTTAGGAAACGAGTACTAGGTAAGGATGGGAGAGCAATCGATGAAGTGGTGAAACTTCATCAGTTGAGGTGGTTGGGACATGTGTTACGTATGCCTAACCACCGACTGCCTCGACGAGCTATGTTTTGTGGTGTAGGAGTAGGTTGGAAGAAAGTTAGGGGCGGCCAGACCAAAACATGGCAGAAATCCATGAAGTCACTGACAAGTGGACTGAGTCATGTTGGTAGATGTAGGGTACCTGGTTGGGGTCCGCGAGACGAAAGTCATCAATGGTTAGAGACCTTGAACGATATGGCTCAAAATCGTTTGCAATGGCGCAGGTGCATCCACTCTTTGAGCTCTCTCAAATCCTAATCTTCTGGATTAGCCAGCACCTCTACCTTTGTCTTTCTAACCTTATCTCACTGAATTATATTTTTTGAATAATATCTTAAACCCTAGTCTTCTTTATTATAACATTAATACCTCTACCATCTTTATCACTATGGGATTTGATTTGACATTTGCGTCTCTGTGCTAATAATGTGGTATGGCAACATGAACTTATGTACATACGTACGAAGTTCCACGTTGCAACTGACTGACTGACTGACTCTCTCATATCTCCATGACTAACTCTTCGCACAATCCTTTACCACACTGGACCGCTAATGCAAACGAAGCGAGTTCACGAAACGTCATTCCTCGTCTCTTGAAACCCCGCTTTGGACTACATGTTGGAGCATTTAATTTTCGGACATTGTGTCAAATAGGGCAACAGGCTTTTTTAGATAGGACTTTAGAATCTCGCTCAATCGATGTATTCTGCGTCTCGAAAACGCGCATACAGGATCCCAGTAGTGTCATTCACTTGACCTCACCATGTCAAGATTCAGAAGCAATTCGATTTACCCTTCGTGTATCTGGAAACCCTGATGCTGCTTCCCGTGGCCTCGCTGGTGTAGGTATAGCATAGAGTTGTAGGGCTGAACGGGACAGTAAGGATTCAGCAAAATAGGGAAACTCACTGTTGCCTCTTTGTTTTCTCCACCTACGTTCCCACTGACTGCAGCTCAGACGAGGTGAAAGATGAGTTTTATAGAAAGCTTTCGGACCTCTTGTAAAAAGCTAGGCGCTCTGATATTGTTATAATGACTGGTGACTTTAATGCTCAATTAGGTAGACTAATTGAGCAGGAAGGTTACCTGGGTGGATCGCATGGTGTCGCAGCTCAGCGAACAGACAATGGCGACCGTCTGTTGCAACTGTGCTCAGATAACCACCTATTCCTAGGAAACATTAACTTCAGGCATCAGGAAAAACATCTGACCTGGCGACCCGCGAAGTCGTCTCAACGTTGGACCCAACTAGATCACATTGCCATCAGCCACCGATGGAGGGGTTCGATAGAAGACTGTCGCTCGTTGTGGGGCACATGTTTAGATTCAGATCATGCCCTGGTGCGAGCGCGTATTTGTTTGAGGCTTACTGGACGTAGGAAAGACACCGTGAGGAAACCTCTTAGGTTTCTACTTAATGACAATAAAGCTAAGAATACATTTCAGGAGCAACTAGAAAATCAGTTAGGCGACCAGGTAAGTGATTCCCATCCGGAGGTAGGTTGGAATGATATCAAGAAGGCTGTGGAAACAGCAGTGATATCTGCTAGCAATGTGAGCCATAAGTCTAGGATGAAGCCGTGGATTTCAGTCGCATCCACCGAACTGATGGGTGCTCGAAAACGCATCCCACCTGACTCTGAACATGATGAATAGCGTAGTTAGCTTAGGTGCAGGCTGATAAAAAGCCTGCGCAACGACCGTGAACAGTGGTGGGTGGCGAAAGCAAAAGCGATGGAAAAGGCAGCGGTGATAGGCAACACTAGACGACTTTTCCGCCTTATCAAAGAAACCGGTATTAGGAACCCGAATGTGAGTGAGACTATCTCGGAAAAGGATGGTCTTCTCATCCATTCTCAATCGAGGAGATTGGACCAAAGGGCAGAACACTTCAGTTCAGTTCAACTGGCTTCGAGCCACATTTCGGTTACCCACGATCTCCAGTCATCCTGAGTGGCAAATCGATTTAAGTCCTCCCAGTCTACATGAAGTTGAGAAAACTATAGGAAATCTGAAGCGATGTAGAGCAGCAGGACCTGATAGATTGACCCCTGAGATGTTTAAGGATTGTGGTCCAGTTTTAACAGTTAGACTGACCGAGATCTTAGGTAGAATCTGGGAACTGGACGTAATCCCATCTGACTGGTCTCAGTCGCTAATGGTGCCCATCTACAAGAAAGGACAAAAGTCCTCTTGTGACAATCACAGGGGAATCAGTCTTACTGATATAGTTTCTAAATTGTTAGCCTCCATTATATTTAGAAGTCTAACTAGAGAGTATTAAAGATTCCCATTGTGAAAATTAGAACAACACATATAAGCGAACAATATTGTTTTCGATTAGATCGTCATCAGGCTTTACTCTAATATACGTGAATATTTATATGAAAATGTAAACCAATCAAGGCAATTTCAGTGATAATCACAATGAAATGAAAAGGCTAAAGTACAAGTGGATAGTAGGAAGATAGGTGAACCGATAGTAGTAGGAAAATTTATAAAATATGCCCAATCAACTAGATACTGATGTGCAGTTTGAGAATTTAGTTTCGCAAACAACTGACCTTGTCCCTACCTCAGTGGAAGATGTAGCTAGATTTAAGACAACGTTGGTCGATAGCTGCCTACAGTATAAGAATAGTAAGCGTC